CTTGGCTTTGGAGACCTAGTGGTAAAGTAGGTTAATATCATTATGCTGCTAACCCTAAGATTGGAAGCTCAAACCCACTATACTCTCCATGGAAGAACAATGGGGCTGTCTATTTCTATAAAGACATACAGCCTCAGAAATCCTATGGAGCCGTTCTGCTCTGTTCTAAAGTCAGTATGGATCAGGATTGACTTGTTGGCAATGTGTTTTTATTCTTGGCTTCATTGTTAATGTCACCGAGTCAGTTCTGACCCTCTATAGGGTTTCTGAGGAGTGGCTGGTGGATTTGAACCACTGACCTTGTGGTTAGCAGTCCAGTGTTGATCCTACAGCACCACACTAGGACTTCAGTCTTGGCTTCACTAATTAATAGAGTGACCATGGATATTTTCTTTCTCAGAGCCTCTGTTTCCTATTTTATAAAGTGTTGACAATAATACAATCTTATTTGTCTCTCAGAGCTATTGTGAGGATTAAGTGAAGTATTCCATTTTTGCTTTGCAAACCACAAAGTGTGCAGTATCACTGGCTGCAGGATGCTTTAGGGGCTGAATAGTTAGTGAAGGCAACACAGAGAAAGCACTGAATGAGGGTAGCTCTCAGCTCCACCCCTGCTTGGGTCCTGTCCCAGTCTGAGTGTTTCTAAAGCTGGAACTTTAGAGTCAGTCATGCCAGAATAGGAATAATTTATGATATTTATGCAAAGCAAAGTTCTGGGAGAACTGCCCTCACATGTTTCTTTGAGGTCCAAGTTATACCCAGCAGGAGGTTTCACTTATATGCTACGGGAAAAAGGTAAATGTAGAGATGAGACATTTTATTGGAAATAATGAAAGGACAAGGAGAATAAGAAAGAAAAGATCATCAAGAGTGGAGGGAAGGAGTTTTTTTAGTTTGGTGTAGATTTTCCATTTACCCATTATTAAACCTCATATTTCCAAGTTTGTTGTTTGGAGAATAACTGACCATTGTCTGCATGCTGCCATGGAAAAACCTCCAAACACTGATTTTCAGAGACACCTGGGTTCCTTTGGCCCAGCTTTGTGTCCAGTGCTTTGAAGGAGGAATCACTAACTTTTGCATAGTGCAAAAGGCCAAGTGTCTCAATGGATATACCTCTGCTCTTTAAAACTTCCATGCTGATAAATGTGTGCATGGTATCTGGCTATGGTTGGAATCCCTTTGAAATTCTGGTTTCTCATTTCTCTCTGTGGCCCAGATAGATGCTGGCTGAATTGAGATAGGACCACCACCACCACCCCCATCCACCAGCCTTGCCTTGTTTTCTTCTCCTTCTCTACTTTCTCCCCCATCCCCCATCCCAATTGTTGAGCTCTATTTGAAAAGAGCTGGTGTGGGGGGGGGGGGGGGGGGGGGAAGCGGGCGGAATGGAAGTCTGTTTTTTCAATCGGGATCAGAATATCCATTCCCAAGCAGTAAGCGCTCTGTGAGAGTAACAGGATCCATATGTTGAAGCTGACTGCTAATGCTCAGCATATGGGCCAGAGAACTTTTCAGACAGAAATATGCCTCTCCTTCACTAAGAATACCCCAGTAAACTCTAGAAAGGACCATTACTTAGATGATGAATGGTGCAGACACAGCTTCTGGGCTCATCTTTTCAAGAAGTATGGATCCTGTAGAAAGCCGTAGAAAAGGTCCTGGTTTGACCTTGAGATGGATGTTCATGGAAACCTCTAGGGTTCGTCCAGGACACAGACCCTGTGCTCTTCAAAAGATCACGAGGCGTTTTAGAACCCTCAGCGCACTCTCCTGTTACACTGTTACACATGGTTTTTACTCATGATACCAGGTTGCTTGCTAAACTGAATGGAAACATTTTTCACTTCTCTCAGAGGTAGCATTGCACAATGGAAAGAACATGTAACCTGCGAGCAGGAGGACTGGACTCTGGGGCCACCTTGGCTTTAACTAGAAGCAGCCTTAGGGAAACTACTTTACTTCCCTCAACGAGGAATCCCAGAAGTTCTGCTTTTTAGAACAGGACCATAAGCATTCTCAAGGGGTCAGAAACATCTAAGGCAAAAAACCAATTGCCTGCTCTCACATTTTAGAATAAGCTGTAGCTGATAAAGAAGAGTAGTCACAACTAGACATACCTGCTGGTCACACTTTCATTGTTCTTAGGTAATAATGCAGTTGTGAACTGCAGATGAATAATCAGTAACAGACCCAGTTTGGGGAAGAGATCAGCTGCCCCTAATTACTATAACATCTCTCTCCTACCAGTCCAAGCCTTGAGTTTCCACCTCTTGTTCTCACACGGGAGTGTACAGCCTTCACTGTCTGCCTCTGCCCAGGCTCAATTTGCCTCTTACCCGGCTCCTCCCCATGAACTGAGTCCCTGCTTTCCTTGGCCCTAGAAGGTCCTTGGATCCCTATAGTCCTCTGAGGCCCAACTGTGGTCCCTTCCTGGAATGAGCAAAATAGAGAGACCTGCAGCAGCTCTGCCTGCAATCCGGTCACCATGGCAACAAGCAGGCCTCCATTCTACTGTGAAAAGAAAATGGCTGTTCCCAGGAAGTGCTCACTGAGTCCTTGCAAAGGGCCTGTTTGACTCAGGCCCCTCATGCATATTGGTTTTAAGAAGCTGCCTGCATTGAACCAAATGCCTGTTAGCCTTGAGCTTTCCGCTGGAGTTTATTTAAGAGGAGGAGATGCAGAAGGAAGTTGGATTCAAATGAATAAAGCATTTGCCCCTTTAAAACTGTATTTTCCTGAGAAATGCTTATCCACTGTGAGCAAATAAATGAGGAAGAGAATGAATGCAGGCATCTATGCGATCTGGTGTACTGTGATCTGGTGTACTGTTTTCTGTCCTATCGGTGGAGTGGGATGACAAAGCATATGGCTATTTAAATTAAAATTCCAAGAGAGTAACCAAAGCATACAAGAAATCCCACAGGGAATAGCTTGCAGAATTTCATAAGAGTGTCTGACTAATTGGGTTGATGATGTTTGATGCTGCTTCTGTTACAGAAAGAGGGTTGCTAGTCCTACTTCTCTCAAAGTGAGGTTGAGTGTTGGTTTAGCAGTCCTCTGCTTCAAAGTCAATTTGAATCTTAAGGTTATCTTTCTCCATAGTTTTTAAACATGAGGGTGGGGAGAATTGGGCAAGAGACTTTTGTCCATAGTTCCTGTGTGGTATATTTCCCGCTCACTCAGTTTGGTCTCAGCGCACTGCCTGTGGGGATACTTCCAGTTGACATTTTAAAGTACCTGTTGGAAAAAAGCATTAAATAAAAGTACCTGATTGGACCTACGGTGTTGTTGTGAGTTAGAGCTGACTCAGCAACCAAGGGTTTGATCTGGTTTTATTAGCTGGGCTGCTGTTATGGTGAATCCAAGAAGTTCAGCTGGTTAGAGAAGGACCATAAGCCTTCTAATGGAGTCAGGAACATCCAGAGCAGAAACACAGTTGCCCTTGAGTTGATCCCAACTCCCAGCTCATGGCAACCCCCGGTGTGCAGGAGAAGGAGGTACTTTGCAGGGTCTTCAATGGCTGATTTTTCAGAAGTAGATTCCCAGTCTTCTGTTCCAAGACGCTTCTGGGTGCACTTGACCCTCCAGAACCTTTCAGTTAATAGCCAAACACATTCACTGTTTGTACCACCCAGGGACTCCACTAATCTGATAGGGGTGACAGTTTCATTGGACAGTGGTCTGGACCATGTCCACTTCTGACTGTGACATAAAGAACTGTGAATTCTTGGGTGGTCATCAGTTTTCAAAACCCAAACAAGTTCCTCCCCTAACTCTTTTCTTCAAGTAAATTGAAGAACCCCATTTTTAAAACGAAAACTCTGATAAGAAAATTCCAAGGTGTTTACTTGGGTGAAGGGGAAGGCAATGTACAAGAAAGAAGTTGGTAGAAGAATGATAGAGGAAGGGTCAAGATGGGGAGGAGTACAAGAGTTAAAGGGTAAATAAAGTGTACAGAGGCAAATACTGTTACATACAAAACCCTGCAATAACAGTCATCTACCAGAACCGACTCCACGGCACACAGCCACCACCACCGGTAGATACACAGGCTGAGGGATGTGGGAGGGAGAAAGGAAGTATACCCACAAATACATAAATGTTTGACAAAGGTTATTTTTACATGGGTATTTACCTTCACTGCAAACATATCCATGAATGTAGTAGAGTATGCAGGGGGCAAAGTTATAAAAATTTAAGCATTCCCAGCCACCTTGAGGGAATGATTGCTGAGCCTGGAGGCACCATAGTCTCTTGTCTTCAAAGTCCATAAAGACAATGTTCTACATCCTACTTTGGTGAATAGTGACTGGGATCTTAAAAACTGATGAGCGGACATCTAAGGTGCACCTATTGGATTCTCCCTGTGTGGAGGAAAGAAAAGTGATGAAAACTGAAGGTGCTTGGAAACAATTAGTCCAATGGACTAATGGACCACGTGAACGTCAGTCTCCATGACCCTGAAACCAGAAGAACTAGATGGTGCCCAGCCTCCACTACCAGTTACTCCTGAAAGGGGTTGTATTAAGAGGTCCTGGATAGAGTAGGAGAAAATGTGAAACAGAACTCAAAATCATAAAAAAGACCTGGCTCACTGGTCATATAGAAATGGTGGAACTCTGAGTCTGTGGTGACCCTTCTGGTCTGAAACTGAACTCAATTTTCAGCCAAGCAATACATGGGAGAGACATATAGGTATATAGGAAAGACAACAACACTAGGGAGATGGTGCACATGCTATTGAATGATCATCTATTCGAGATCAAAAGGGCAACATTTGCCCAAGGGCAAAATTCAGAAGGGTTGGGAAAGAAGGAGAAATGAAACACAGAGAAGAAGGGGTAAGTAGTGATGTTACATTAAGGGGAGTGCAATCATTGAGATGAAACAAAGTATATGATTTGTTAAATATGAAAGCTCTGTAAACTGTTACTCAATTCACAGTAAAAGGTAAAAACAAAATGTCCAAGGTATAAACTGGACTTTCTCTTTTTCAGTGTCTCTGCAGGTGGATATCGTTCCCAGCCAAGGGGAAATCAGCGTTGGAGAATCCAAATTCTTCCTATGCCAAGGTAAGTGCCCAGTGCCCGTCTGCATTTCAGAACTCATCTCAAAAGCCCGTGGAGTTGAGAAGTGGGTGGGCCATGCACATGCAAGACTGATATAGTATCCGTCTGCTACATATGCAACAATGCAGCCTCTCACAGCCTGCCCAGCCTACCCTCTCACAGCTGAATGTGTCATCTAGGTCCCTTGCTTGTCAAGGAGAGAGAGTCTAGGCATGTTTTTAACAATAGAATAGAGTCCTGGTGTGGCGCTGTGGGTTGATGCGCCAGACTGCGAAGCCGTTTGAACTGCAAGGTTGGTGGTTCAAGCTCACCAGCTACTCCTCGGAAATTCTATACAGGGTCGCTGTGGGTTGTAACTGACTCGACGGCACTTAACAACAATAACAGAATAGTGTGTCCTCCCCAGACCTCTCAGCACAGTATACAACCAGAGTTCTGCCCATGGCGCTGTAGAACAGGGCTGCTGCAGAAATAAAGCTTCACTGAGTTGCTTTAACTTATTTCTTAGAATCTCCCAGAGCAGGAAAATCCAAGAAGGTCTGTAATATCCCTGAAAATGAACTGAGGATTGATCTCTCTTTACCTGTCAGGATACATGCCCTGTCCTGGTTTTTCCAGGACAATTGTTGATGCAAATGCTCTGTCCCATTGTCCCCACCAGGGCTCTAGGGTTTCTCAGATCAGGTGCCCTCATGTTTTGTGTAGAAAATATGCCAGTTTTCACAATTCAGATAATGACCAGAAAATGTCCGGTGGCAGAAACAATTCCAATTAGGCTGAGGTTTCTATGTATGTGGCATTCCTGGGGTTGGGAGCACCAGGAAAGAGCTGAGCTAGGTGTAAGCTGTGACATTTAGCAAGCAGCTTTGGCAGGGAGGGGCCTTTAAATGCGGTCTTGATTTGCGTTGGATGTGGTGGCTGGCGGATGTGTTCTACAGCTTTGCCTTCATTACAACAATTTAAATGATCTGGGGATGCAGCCGTGGAGCCCACAGCACATCTTGCAAATAGCGATATTTATCGAAAACATGATGGGCCCTGAAAGGAAGGCGGCTTCATTTCCATCCTAAGCAGCTGTACAGGGCCAGGCAATGTAGGCTGGGAAGGGTGCCGTGCAGTGTAGGGTAGAGGTGCGTGCAGAATCCAGGAGGAGCCCTGCCTGTGTGGGCTCACGGTCTGGGTCTGGGAGAGCTAAGCAGCAGTCTGGCTGCCAAGGGCACCTGGGGAAAAGAGGCATGGGTGATCCTGACCAGCTTCTCAGCGGTGTTTAAGGAAGTGAATTTGTCTGTCTGAAGCAGTGTATGGTGAAATGGCAGATGCTAGGATAAGAGTGATTGAAACCCACACTCCTAAAGCTGATATCTCATACTCAACCCAGGATCCCGTACTCTAAGCCCTGGCAAACAAGCTGACCAGCTGGCTCAGACCAGCTAGGCCCTTGAACTTGGGTTCTTTATATAGGAGTATTAATCTCCTTTGTTCCCCATACAGTGAGACTTGTCTGTTCCTAGCTTAGTAGCTGACACACAGTAGGTTTTGAACAAATTTCTTTTTTTTTCTTTCACAAAGTGTTGGCCACTATGTGAAATACCAGCACAACTGTTTGCTGAGTTCTTTCCAAACATCATAGATACAGTATTATACGTATATTAATTGAACAGAAAGACCAGAGTAGAGCTGTGTGAGTTATAATGTAAATGAGTATCCCTTCCTGACGGTCCAGCCTGACTGACCGTGTCCAGTAGTTTACTCTGAGTACCCACCGTCACTCTCAGGGGGACTCTGTCTTCTCCCCTTCAGCGGTTGCAAAAAAATAATAATCTCTTCCTCCATAGTGGCAGGGGATGCCAAAGATAAAGACATCTCCTGGTTCTCTCCCAATGGAGAGAAGCTCACCCCGAACCAGCAGCGGATCTCCGTGGTGTGGAATGATGATTCTTCCTCCACCCTCACCATCTACAATGCCAACATCGATGACGCCGGCATTTACAAGTGTGTGGTCACCGGCGAGGATGGCAGCGAATCAGAGGCCACAGTCAACGTGAAGATCTTTCGTAAGAGCCTCCGTCTTCTCTTGCTACTACAATTCCAGTCCCCTCCTTTGACCATTGAGACGCACGGGTAGTACAAAGGGTGGGATGGCAAAATTCCCTGAGGCTGAGGACTTGGTGAGTCCCTAAGTCTTTCCTGAATGCTGCTAAGAGCTACAATATATTCTTCAATAATGCTTGGCCAACTCAGAACTTCCAGTCCTGGTTCCCACTTCTCAGAGGGCAGTTGTGGGTATAATCTCCAGATATTAACTGACTCTGTGGCATTATGGTTTTCTCTTCTTATTTCCTGCACCAACTTACATGGCAAGAGGTCTTTAACTCCCAGAGTCACTTCTAGGCTCAAAGTATTGGTCATTCGGTGGCTAAAAATTGACTGCCAAACAATAAGACACAGACTGGCATTACTTGTGCCAGCTCCTATGCCTGAGCATCTTGGGCTAAGTGCTCAGTGTGATCCTCTCTTAAGCAGCTACATACAAAGATTGAGAGTTGCCCAGGACTCAAATCCAGCCAGTATGGCTATAGAGGAAAGGGATCTCTGGTAAGAGAAGCAACTGCGTCCCTTCACTTTGCTGTTTGCTCATTTTCCAGAGAAGCTCATGTTCAAGAACGCACCAACTCCACAGGAGTTCAAAGAGGGGGAAGATGCCGTGATCGTGTGTGACGTGGTCAGCTCCCTTCCCCCAACCATCATCTGGAAGCATAAAGGCCGAGATGTCATCCTGAAAAAAGACGGTGAGATGTGAATTTCCTGGCAGCTGCCTTTTCCCCAGCCCACCAGGTCCCCTGTGTCTCCCACTATATTGGCCTCTGAGGGGTTCCAATCCAGGTGCCAAATGGATGTACGAATGGGCTTCAAAAACTTCATGAAAAAATTCCATTTTTCCATGAACTTTTTGAAACCCCCTTATGTCTGTCACTGGTCTTTTTAGGCATTTGCTTTTTCTCTCTAAAGTAAAAGATACATTTTCCAATAGATCTGCTCTCTTGCCTATATTCCAGAGCTAGGGGCACATTTTTGTGTTTCAGCTTAAAGCCCCACCCTTAAGACTGAAGCTAGGAAGAAGGAAGGGGTCAGCTGCCTACCTGCCTGAAGATGCGGGACTTCTCTGGCTGACCCTTGAATGAACATGCCTCTTGTCTCTTCTAGTCCGATTCATAGTCCTGTCCAACAACTACCTGCAGATCCGGGGCATCAAGAAAACAGATGAGGGTACTTATCGATGTGAGGGCAGAATCCTGGCTCGGGGGGAGATCAACTTCAAGGACATTCAGGTCATTGTGAATGGTGAGGAGACCCCTTCTTCCTGCCTTCCCCATTGATGCCCTCACTTTCCCAACATCACTCTTGTTTACTTCCTCTTTGTCTGCAAAATAAATCCTGTCCTGCCTCGTTCATCCATCTCAACTGAATCCCTCATAGCGTATGGCTATTATTATTATTATTATTATTATTATTATGAAATGCACTTGCTTTTTAGGTCTGCTCTCAATTATGGGGGCTTTTAGTGCATTGACTGTCCTTC